TTTTCCCCTCGTTTTCCTTTCCCTTTGCCACTTTTTCAAAACTGGGAGATCTTTTGAAGAGGTACAGAGAGGAAGTTTCTAAAAAGAAAAATGGGGGGAAATGAACATTATTTTGTTTCATTTTGGGAAAGGGGAGAAAGAAAAATGTGACATTTTTCAAAAGTTATTTCAAGATATTTTTCAAACAAATAAAAGAAATTCCATTCTGAAAACTGAGAAATGGAAACAACATTGAAATTTCAATTATTTTTGCAAATTCCCCCACCCTGTAATTTTTTGGCCAGCTGCACTTTCAGCAGAGATAACCACAGCTGGCCAATCCGTGCAGCTGATCTAGGAATATGCTGCCCCAGAGGAGGAGGCTGGTCACTTAGTGCCTAAGACAAAGCACAAGGACGTCATTGGAAAGACTCCGGTGCAGTTCAATGAGCTTTGGAACAGGCCCTTAATGGTATCGCTGATAGACATTGCCATGGAGAAGATCTGGGTTCCAGATCTGGTCTGATTTCCTTGCTCCTAGGGTATCAGGGGCCAGAGAGTGCTCCAGAAACAGCAATAATTGGTGGATTTCTGTCCAGTTCACATGAGCTCATTCCTAAGCAACCTGCAAACTCAGATTTGCATGTGCAAAAAGGGGTCTTCACAGCAGCCCAATTTGTGCTCAAGGTCCCTGTGTGGCTTAAAATCCAAGATTTATGGTGTGCCAAATTTTATGTATCCAAAACTGTTTTCAGAACTCATGAGAGCAAATGATGGAGCTCAAATTTTAGTACTTTTTTTTAAAATGCCCTTTATGTCTCTATGTATTTTGTGGACAGCATGTGTTCCCCAGTTCAAGTCTAGTGCTTCTTAGTTTGGGTTCTGCTGTTTCTTCTACTAAAATAATCCTTGTCAGTCCCGTTCTCAATCCCACACCTGCTGTGCTTCCTGTTATTAGAAGGATCTGGTTTTCTAGAAGCCACTGATCACAGATTATCTGAATTATGCAAGAAAAATTCATATTCTAAACACCAGTTAGGACTCTTGAAAATCTATTGGAAAATCTTCTGTCCACTGAGCATAGAGTATGTTCTCCATAAAATGTCAGAAGTTAAATTCTGTGGGGTCTCAGTGACATGCTGCCACGTGCATAAAATGTCCCATGACTCACTCCGTAGTCTTGTTCTTGACCTGTGCTTTTCATGTTTGTATCACGTCATTTCAGAAACAGCTAGAAACTGAGAAGCAGAAGATTGTGTCTGAATTTCAGCAACTGCGCCAGTTTTTGGAGGAACAAGAGCAACTCCGCCTGACCCAGTTGGAAGAGCTGAATAAGGAAATTGAAAAAGAGAGGGCTGAGTATGTTGCCAAATTATCTGAGGAAATATCTTCTTTCAGTTCCCTGATCAGTGAGATGGAGCAGAAGTGCCAGCAGCCAGCAAGGGAATTCCTGCAGGTGAGACGGTGTTAGAAACACCCCAGAACCTTTCACAGGGCAAGAAAGTCTCCGAACTCTTCACTCTTGGAGTGTAGGAGTGAATGGTCAGAACATGCAAACTCCAAAAGATTAAAGATGGAACCAGCCTTTAATTATGGAAATAGCTAAGACTGAAGCTACGATTCCATTTAAAGCCTGATTTTGCCAGTTTTCCTGCATATCACAAAAAGGGAAAATATTGGCCTTAAAATTGATACATGAGGTCTGAGGCTGTGGTGATTTTCTCTGCCAGAACTGAAGTTAGTTAGGGAAGCTGTTCATTAATTATGGTAGTCTGAATGTATAAGTAGTCATTAGAATTTCAAAAACCTTCTAATGATTTTATTTTTTTTAAAATGGCTCTAATTAGCAAAAAAAGAAAAAAAGGCGAGAAATAAAATGTAGCATCCTGGACTTCTCTAGCTGATATCTAGGTTCAGATTCTCTGTTGCGACCAGTATCTGCTGTGGGCAGCATTCTTCACTCCTCAGGTTTCCTGCATTGAACCTGGG